TGCCCACCACAATGCCCGGCTATTTTGTTGTTGTTGTTGTTGCATTTTGGCCTGGGTCAGCTTTGAACCTGCCACATTCAGTATATGGGGCTGGTACCCTACCCCCTGAGCCATAGGCGCTACCCAACACCTGGCCATTTTTACAGATGAGGTCTCGCTCTGACTCAGGCTGGTCTTGAACAGATGAGCTCAAGCAATCCACCCTCCTCAGCCTCCCATGTGCTAGGATTATAGGCATGAGCCACTGTGCCCGGCCTAAGACCAGATTGATCTTTGCAGCCTTTTCTCACATCTCTCTTTTACATAGCCTGTAGTGTAGCCAAACTAGACTCTTCACAGTTCCTTAATCCCATACCCTTCAGTTTCATACCTCTATTCTGTGCTCTTGCCTCATTACCCAAATTCTCGTTGCTAATTTGAGCTGTTCTGTCCCTAGGCCCAAACCAGTGTATCCTTGTTCTCGAGAGGAAGCCAGGGCAGAGGGCAAACTTGAGGTTCTTGAGGTAGAGTAGCTTACTAGGAGGAAGGCAGCTGGTGGATGCTAAGGGAAGCAGGAACTCACCTACAAGTCCTTGGTATCTGAAGGGACCAGGATAGTCTCCATGTGTTAGAGAGTGCCAAAGGAGATCTTTATTAGGATGTAGAACATGTCAGCAAGGAGGCAAGGACAGATAAGGAATCTTTTTCTTTTTTTAATTTTATTTTAGAGACAGAGTCTCACTTTGTTGCCCTTGGTAGAGTGCTGTAGCGTCACAGCTCACAGCAACCTCCAACTCCTGAGCTTAGGTGATTCTCTTGCCTCAGCCTCCTGAGTAGCTGGGACTACAGGTACCCACCACAACACCTGGTTATTTTTTTGTTGCAGTTTGGTTGGGGCCGGGTTTGAACCCGCCACCCTCGGTATATGGGGTCAGTGCCCTATTCAGTGAGCCACAGGCACTGCCCCGATAAGGAATCTTTAGGCTTAGGGAAGGGGTGGGCAGCAGTGCACAGGTACTGATCCTCAGTTACAAGTTGCATGGATGGTAGTTTTATAAATGGTCATCAACAGAGCTGAGTAGAAAGTGTCTACCTAATCTCCAAGAATGACATTAGTAAAGGACGAAGACACATGTACCCACTAAGATGCATGCATTTGTCACAGTTTAATGTTGGCTGGATTGACCATTGTATTTTTGGTGCTCTTCAGGCAGTCACTCTCTTCTCTTTAGGAAAAGTTAAAACCTGAGTTAGTCTCAGACACTTGTGACTTTGAATCATGGCACTGCCTACTTAGGCTGGTTGACTAGACTGTACAGTCACTTAACCCCTCAGAGTATCATTTTCCTTATCTATAAATTAGAGGATTAATAATTATAATACCTACCTTGCAGGTTTGTAATAGGATTCAGTAAGCTAAGACATGTGAAATGATGGGAGTAGTGCCTGGAACCAAGTTCATTTTCAGAGAACAGAAGCCAGTGTTGTTACCACATGTAGACCTCTGGGCTTTTCATCAGACTTCTGTCTCTGGGAAAGCACCCTGCTCATCCTGTCCCAGTACAGTTCCCCAAGCAGGGAGACTCTGCGGGCACTTTGGAACATCATGTCTCTGGTAGCAGGTGCTCTCTGTGCCTGAGGGCAGCCCTCAAAAATGCATTTCCATGCTACTTGACCTGAGCATGCTGGCTGTGGCTTAGAGGAAGACATTTCATTGGGTAATAAATGTTTTGAAGCCCAGGACCTGCAACCTCTTCCAGTGAAGTGTTAGAGGACTTGCAGATTGAAGTACAGAGGAATGATTACATCTTCTTCTCTGTATATACCAGGTAGAGAACAGAAGCAGACTACAAGGTATGTAGATCAATAGGTTAGAGCTGCATTTCTCAAAGTGAGCATGTTAGAGCCCTGGCACCAAGATTGTATTAGATCTGTACAGTAAGTCTCTAAGGAAAGAATTAATCTCCTTATATGCCCTTGATTGGTCATTATTGAAAGAAAGTAGACATATGGTCAGGAAGAAAGAAGTGGACCTTTAGGACTTCTGTTAGGTTGGATTTTCTCAGGATGAATACCTGAGAAGAACTTAGAACACACCTGAAATTGGAAGGTTATCTCTAGACGAGTTTTTTCAACCTTTTTTGTCTCATAGCACACTTGAACCTATAGTTAAACTTCCAAGGCACACTTAAATTGTTGATCAAAAAAAAGAGTAAAAAGTGTATATGCTTTGCTTAAACTTCTTTCAAAAATATTTCATTTATCTTTGGAAATTTTCATGGCATACCTAAGATCCTCTCCCAGCATGACAGTATACTGTAGTTCACTAGTTGAAAATCACTGATCTATACCATGTAGAGGCTGGACAGACAGATATCCAGATGCACATCACCAGCTCCTGCATTCCATTCCTAGGAAATAGACCTTATGCATAGGCACAAGAGGTTTTCCCTATTGTCCTCCCAAGAAGCCATCTTAATGGAGATGCCAAGGGTACTTTGACCAGTTATGTGACCCAGGCCAAGTCCCCTTCCATCTCAGCCTCAGTGTCCTGGTTTATAAAATGTGGAGGCTGGAATAGATGACCTTTAGGATCTCTCCCAACTCTGTCATCCTAACAGGGAACCACTGATTCCTGGCACATAGGGGCCTGGCTCTGCCTTGGCTATAGCCCCCATTGCTGACATTCAGTCCGAGGCGGCCATTTGGAAGAAGTCTGTGCCTCTCAAAGTGCCTTTAACCAGCTCCATATTTCCTCCCTCTGTGGCTGGGTGCCTCCTATCCTTTTTGTCTGCCAGAACTTAGCCTGCTTAGCCTTGGCCATAGCAATAGTGATAAAAGACCAGCTGACAGTCAATAGCCAGACACTAGGCTAGTATTCATTATCTCATTTTTCCTGAAACAACCCAGTGAGATGGGTATTATTATCTTCATTTTGTAGATTAAGAAGTAGCCTTAGATGAGAGAGTCCTTTGGACAAGATCTTCTTGAACCCCAGTATTCCAGGTGGACTCACTCTGGCCTGAGCAAGTTCTTCAGTCTCATACACATTTGCTCATTATTCCCACTGCCAGAATATTCTCTCTCCATATGCCCCATCTCTGTCCAAATCCTCCCGGTTGGTTAAAGCCAATTCAAATTCTGCCTGTCCATGAGGTCTTACTGCTCCTTGACCTTCATCAGCTGCAATTGTTTTCACCTCTGAGCTTGCATGTCCTTGCTCTTGCTTTCCTGATGACCTTCACCACATTCTGTCTTGTATTCTGGTACTTTCTGTACATGACTGTCCTAACAGTCCTGATACAAGGACTGTAAGCACCTAGATTGTTGGGACTGTGTCCTGTGCATCTCCATACCCCCAACAAAGACCTGTACTTAGGACCCAGGGTTTCTTCTGACCAAGGCCAGGAAAAAGGCCTTCCAGCAAGAGGGAGGGCCTTAGCAGCAACTTCTCAAGCCCATAGTCTTCATAGCTACACATGACTTATAATAGCAGAAGAACTCTTGAATGCCTGGGATCATTGAGAGCCTAGAAGGGATATTCCAGAAATCATTTTTCATCTTTATTCATGTAAAAATCTTTATTGCTGAGAGAGTATAGCAAATCACTTACCTGCTCTGAACCTCTGTCTCTGTTCCCAAAGAAAGGACCTCACTTACAGTTTCAGTGCAAGGGTCAAATGAGACAATAGATGAAGTGCACATGTTGGCTATTCTTTACATGATGAGGACAGAGCAGTCCAAGTGTTTACAGGCTGGTTAGGACAAAGACATGTACATAAGATACCACAACATAAGGTAGAATGTGGGTAAGGATTGTGGAAACAGTTTCTCACACATGGGCTAAGTTTGGCAGGAACAGAGAACATCAGTGAGGCACAGCAGGCCTTGGTTCTGTTCCAAAGAGATTTTTCCCTTTCCTGTGTCAGGAGCATCCGCCCTACCCTCCTGGGATTATATGATCAGTCAACTGAGTGTTTCACATGTACAGGGTACCCCAAATGCCAGAGAAGAAAAAGCACAGTTCCTGCCTTCTAGGAGTTTATGGTTTGTCTAGAGACACACATAGATATGAGAAGTGCTTCTCAGAATGTTCATGGGAGGATCATTTGCTGGAAGAATCAAGGCTGGTCTCCATATATGAGGCAAATCTGGAGCTGAACCCTGAAAAGTAGCTTAGAGAATGGGAAGGAGGTACCCTCAAAGGCCAAAGGAAGTGACCTGATGGACATTCCCCGACAAGAATCTTTGTAGCAGAGAATGGACAATAAATAATAACTTGTGGGCTGGGCGCAGCAGCTCATGCCTGTAATCCCAGCACTCTGGAAGGCCAAGGCAGGTGGCCTGAGCTCACAGTTCGAGACCAGCTTGAGCAAGAGCAAGACCCCATCTCTAAAAATAGCCAGGTGTGGTGGTGTGCACCTGTAGTCCCAGCTACTAAGGAGGCAGAGGCAAGAGAATCTCTTGAGCCCGAGTTTGAGGTTGCTGTGATCTGTGACACCACTGCACTCTACTGAGGGCGACAAAGTGAGACTCTGTCTCAAAAATAAATAACTTGTAAGGTTGCTGTTTCTGAGTTCCTGCCAATATGCTAAAGAGGATTTTGCATATATTATCTCTAATCCTTAAAATCACTCTTCAAGGTAGGCACAACCCCCACTTTACAGTAAAGAAATGAGGTTAGGAGAGGATTTGCCCAAAGCTACAAAGCTAGTTGGTGGGGGAATCAGAAGTCAGACCCATATTTGCCTTCTTTGCTTCTAAGTGCAAACCTGCAAAATTTTAATACAGGTGTTTCCATACAAAACAAGTCAAGATGGACCCAGAACTGCCACTGGCCTGCCTGTACGACATAGGCACCACCTATCACACACCCACTCCTGAGCTTTTCCAAATCTGGTACATATTCTCCAGTGTTCCACTTCACTGGCTAACCCCATGCCCCACACCCTACGTCCTCCATCCCAATTCCACCCACACCTAAAAATGATCTCCACACCCCAATCCCCACTTCTCTCTAGCAGAAGGCCCGAGACATGTATGCTGAGGAGCGGAAGTGGCAGCAGCTGGAGAGGGACCAGGCGGCAGTGACCGAGCAGCTGCTGCAAGAGGGGCTCCAAGCCAGTGGGGACACCCAGCTCCGACGGACACGCTTGCACAAGCTCTCAGCCAGACGGGAAGAGCGAGTCCAAGGCTTCCTGCAGGCCTTGGAACTCAAGCGAGCTGACTGGCTGGCACGCCTGGGCACTGCATCAGCCTGAGGGAGGCTGGCCACCTGCCACTTTGCCCTGCCCTCTGCCTCCAGGGCCCCACTCCCTTTCTTTTCCTGGTGAAAGGCACCTCCCTTCTGTGATGAATTGTGTTTCTTTTGCTTGGCAGGCAGGGGAATCCCCTCCTCCCCTGTCTGCTGGCCATGGATACCTTTGGGCTGCCTGGGACACTGGTCCTGGAGAGGATTGAGGATGAAAGTCTCCCACAAGTACACAAAATCCAACTCTGGTCATCAATAGGTATGGAGAGCAGGAGGTCCCAACTCATGGGCTGCCTGTGCTCCTAGATGCACTTTTCTTTTTCCACCAGCTCATTCTTCAACACACAGAATTTCAGGGAAGAAGGCTTTCAAAAGCCTAGTCCTTTACCCATCCATCTTAGCCTTCTACCCAACTTCACAAAAGATTTGGCTTTACCTTGGCTCTGCTGGTAAATAACTAATAGGCAGCCAGTTATTTGGGCAATGAAGAAAGGGGCGGGAGAGACAGAAAATTTGCCCATCTGCTGCTCCTCCCCTTGGCTCTCCACCTGGGATTTGCTATTGAATGTCTACCCCCTCCCACCACACACTGCTGATTGCTCACTGAAAGGCTCAGCGCCCCCAATGGCGGTCGGAAGCCTGGCGGGTGATTACAATCCAATTACCTATTGTCAACTCAGCCCACACAAGCTTTTCTCCTCCTCTTGCAGGGCATGGGCCCAGGCTCCACTCCCAAGTGAGACCGGCCCCCACCATGGTACAGGGTAACAGAAGGGTCTGTAGGCCCTGATGACTCCAATCCAGCACAAGGCTTCCCTGTAACATGTCAAGGCAGAACCAAGCACCTTTCTACTGACTGCCTTCTGCCCTCACTATCTCCAACTCTGATTCCCACTTCCAACCTTTGAAATTTCTCTCAGCTTTTGACCTGACCTTGGTAGGCCCCAAGACAATTTATTCTCAGCATGGCAAAATTCATTCCAGGCCTCTCTGCTTGTGAGGGTCCAAGGCTGTGTTCTTTCCCTTTCTGCCCTCTGTCAGGCCTTGCTGCAGAGATGCTGAGAGGATTAGTGCCTTTGAAAAGCTGTCTGCCTGAGCAACTCTGCTTCAGGTGCCCCACAAGCAAGTACCAGCCATTGACACCAACCAAATGCTGTTGTCTTTAGTCATGCCATTTTACTTTCCCCAGCGTCTCCCTGTTAGGGACAGGTGGGATCTTGCAAACAATGTTTTTAAGAGCTTACTTTTTAGACCCATAACTTTCCTATGCCCCAGTCCCCTCCTCCCTTTTCTGTGCCTGGATACCTGGTGTTAGAGACCCTTCAGCCACAAGCATTCAGACGTGCACCCTTTGGCAACACCCCCCTGCACACCTGGTGCTCCCCACTACCAATCCTGGCACAGGGTTCCTGGAGAGCAGGTGCTGTACATATTCCAGCTTTACAATGGGCCTGTTGACAGCCTTAATTAGGGAGGCATGAATTATGCCGCTGTAATGCAGAGCCCTACAATTAAGGCGGGAATGAGGGCTGGAGGCAGCAAACGGAATCTGCCCTGTGAGTGTGGCTGTTGAGCCCCATCTCCTTTCTGTGTCTGACTTTAACGAATACAACTGGGGTACAATAAGTGATGATTGTGGAGATTAGTGTCTCTTTGGCGAGATGTCCAGTATGCTGGGAAAGGTACAGGTTGGAGTAGAGAGGAGCAGCCCCAAGAGGCACTGTAGGAGTGGAAAGAGGCAGAGGCCATTGCCACGCAGGAACGGGAGCTGCAAAATAGTTGAACTCACTTTGGTTGCTTTGTACAAACCAGATTCAACCCTTCTCAAGAAATCAGGTGGGACCCGTGTAAGTGCCCTCCTACCTGTGAGCCAAGACCTCATTTGAGGACATTTATGCTATTGTGTTTTCCTGGGTCTCAAACAGAATGTTTTGAATTCTTAGATGTAAAACTTGTTTGCTAACTGCCTCGGAACACCTTTGTTTTGCTGCTGCAATTGCCTACCCTCCCTCAGGTGCGCTTGACTAGCTCCAGGACCCCTGGCTTTGGGCTGGGGGACAGTGGAAGAGCCCTTTTGCCATCACAACACCTGTTCCTCTACTTGTTTCCTAATCTCTAGGCGCTTTCTCCACCCTCCTTTTCCTCGCGCAAATGAAAGGCAGCCAACTTGTCAGTGCGGAAGGAAGGATTTCGGCAGCTGCGTCTGCAGCGCCCAGGCTCGGTGGCCGCGTCGGGTGGGGGCAGCTGGGCTAGATGTCTCCCAGACGGCGTAGGGAGAGGGAGCACCGTTAGACCTATTTGGCGGCCGCTCTACATCATTCTGTGAAGGGGTCCTGAGGTCTGGGGGCACAAGGGGCTTAAGGAAGCCATCTGACAGGCGTCGTGGGGGCTTCCATAGCATTTGGGGTGGTGACTGTACAACGGGTGCTGAAAGGACAGCTCCTACCTGCCCCACAGTAACCCGAAAGGCACCTCTGAGCGGGAAGTCTCCCCCTCAACCCCCCACCCCACCTCGAGTGGGCCGCCTTCCAAGTAAGGTGCGCGAAAGGCTTCCCTAGAGAGGCAGCTCAGGAGGATGCACGTCCGGCTGCGCCAAGCTGGCTTCCCCGCTCTTTTCCCACTTCAGCGTCAGCCTGGGCCCCGGGAACCGTAGCCTGTGCCTTAGGCGCGCGCTCCCTCCCGCCTCCAGTGGAGCAGGGTGGTGCAGCCAGACCTCGCAAACCCCTCTTCTAGGGCCCCCAGCGGGAGCAGGAAGGAAAGCCGCTAAGATGCGCCCTGAGTGTCGCACGGCCTGGAGAAGTGGGTAGCTCTGTTGCATAAGGTGGAAGGAACTTGGTAGTTTGCAAAACCCAGCTCTTGGCGGGAGCCGGAACCCTACAGCCCGGCGAATCGCCCACCCCTCCTCATTTATTGCCTTCGACGCACGCCTCCCCCACTGCGCCCCCACCCCTCGGCGCGCCGCCGTCTCACGCTCCCTCCCTCCCCCCCACCCTATCCTCACTCCCTCCAGAGGAGGTGAGTTTAAACCCCGCCCACGTGACCCCAGCTGGGCCAATGAGCGGCGGCGGGAGGTGAAATCCGGTTCTAACCGGTCCGGGGCTCCCAGCGCTATAAAAACTTTATAAACCCCCCGGAGCCCGAGCAGTGTGAAGAAGAGGAGGCGAGAACGACCCCCGGACCGACCAAAGCTCGCGCGTCGCTGCATCCCCGCGTACAGCGCCTAAGTCCCGCCGCCTTTGCCACCATGCCCAAGAGAAAGGTACGTGGCGCGAGGGCCCCAGGCGCTGGGCCGTCGCCACCACCACTGCTGCAGCCGCCGCGCCTCAGTTTAGGCTAACAGAATCGGCGCCGGACTGGAGCAAGCGCAGCCGCCCGGCGCGGGTGCTCCAGGCGGTGTCGAGCGGCCTCGGGCTAATCCTGCGCTGTTCGGCTGCCCGCGGGCGCCAGAGGCCATATTGGAGGAGCGGCGGCCGCGGCGGGAGGAACCATGTTGGCGGCTGTTTATTCCGCTCCTCTCGGGCTCGACGCGTCCGCCCCGTGCCCCCTCCCCCATCGCCAGGCCCCCTCCCTGCGGGCGGGCAATTCAAACCCGAAAGGGCGGGAAGGCGGCGCTCCGGGTTGGCGGGCGGGGGAACGCGCTGCCGCCAAAAACCGCCGCCGTGAGGGGGCGGGGCCGCTAGCCCTGATAGGCGGGGCTTGTCCTGTGTGGCCCCCCGCCCCTGCCCGCCCACGCTCTCCGTGCACGAGACGCGCGCGGCGCCGCCCACGAGTTCCCCGGGCTGCGCGCGCCTTCCCGCTCCGGCCCGGACAGTTGCCATGGCAACGGCGCTCGGCTCCGCCTCCGGAGGGGTTTGCACCATCTGCAGCTGTTGCTCCAGCCTGGCTTGGTGGCTGGGCTCTGGCCGCCCTCTGCAGCCTCGCTCCAGCTTAGCCCGCGCTTCCCTGGGCCGGCAGGCCGGGACTCCCGACACCAGCCCTTCCAGTACACGCTCAAATTCTTGAGTAAGCTTACAGTTTCCTAAAGCACTCCGCTAATTTGCATCGGAGCTGGGCGTGTCGAAAACTTCGCACGCGTCCTGAAAAGTTGCGTGAATGACTTCCTTAATTTTCTTTCACTGGGCTCTGTTGAACTTAGGGAATCTCTAAGAACTACCTCAAAAGCTACAGTTTTTTGTTTCTTACAGGCTGAAGGGGATGCTAAAGGAGATAAAGCCAAGGCAAAGGACGAAGTAAGTCGTCTTTATTCTCTTTAAGGGTCCTACAAAGGCTTGGACTAGTAAAGACCACAAAAATTCATTTGGTGGTAATTAACCATAACCCTAGTGTTGAGTTTACGTAAACAAGCTCTCTTCACTTCCTAATGTAGACCGAATTGACACAACAACTTTTTTTGGTAAAGTGACTTCTGTCCTATTTATAATTCTCTTATTATTTTTAATAGCCACAGAGAAGATCCGCAAGGTTGTCTGCTGTAAGTGTGCATGCTTTTAATTTTTCACATTTACCTCTGAAACTAAGAAACAATTCCCTTTGTTTCCCTTGAGTTATGGTTAGTAATCTAATTTGCACTCTTGCCCATTTGGTGGATGCTGTGTCTGAAATTCTGATTGTTATAGCCAGAGTGGGACACCTCAGAGTGTTGTTACTAGAGTGAGTTCCTGATGATCTGACAGAAAACTGAGATAGGGGAGAAATTTCTCTATTGTTGGTACTGTAGGTTGGTTGCAGGTTGTTTTCTTTCATCTGTTGTACTGATATTCTTTTTCCTCTCTTTCTGGTAACAAAAAGAAACCTGCTCCTCCAAAGCCAGAGCCCAAGCCTAAAAAGGCCCCTGCAAAGGTTAGTGGTGACAGTGGGAATAATTTTTACAGGATGACAAGGACTGTCCTCCAATGACTTCATTCACTGTAATGGTGATTTCATAAATGGATGTTATAAATTGTTTTGATAGTTTACCTTATATCTTACGTAACGGTGATTTCCTAATCAAGAATTCTGTCTTCAGTTTACAGAAAATTCTGCACTTTTAAATGTTAATACCTTGGGCGGTGTCTGTGGTTTAGTGGGTAGGACACCCACCCCAAATACCAAGCGTAGCGGGTTTAAACCCAGCCGGTCAAACTGCAACAAAAAATAGCCAGGCATTGTGGCGGGTGCCTGTAGTCCCAGCTACTCAGGAGGCTGAGGCAGGAGAATCACCTAGCCCAGGAGTTGGAGGTTGCTGTGATCTGTCACGCCACAGCACTCTACCGAGGGCAATAAAGTGAGACTCTACCTCTAAAAATAAATAAATAAATATTAATACCCAAGTGGTTTAAGCTGATTTTTTTTTATTCTACTTACATACTATACTTTTGTATAGTAAAGACCATAGCAGATGTATAGATGACAGACTTAGGCTTAAGAGTTTTGTGTGTGATACTACCTTTAATAAATAATCCTATCTTATGTAGAACTTAGCAGACCCCTGGTGCTATAAAACAAGAGAGAAACAGTTGTATTTTTCCCCCCTTTTTAGAAGGGAGAGAAGGTACCCAAAGGGAAAAAGGGAAAAGCTGACGCTGGCAAGGAGGGGAATAATCCTGCAGAAAATGGAGATGCCAAAACAGACCAGGTACAGCTATTGTTTCACTTTTTGTTAGGTCTGTCCACTCAATTGCTAATCTCAAAGACTATTCCCCTTCTATCTACATCACTCCAGATGTGCCTTGCTCCAGGGTTTGCTTATAGTTTTCCTGTTAATGTAAATATTGGATTGTTGAGAAGTCTCTGCCATCAGCAAAAGGGCACTCCTAGGAGTACCTGCAGATCTTCTAACCTTGTTGTGCCCTCCTCCCCGATTTTATAAGGCTCAGAAAGGGAGGTGACTTGGCAGAGTTACCTAGTAAGTCATTCTCCAAAGAAATGCTGAGTCTCTAAATACCTGAAACTTTGTGAACTTGGGCCTGGGAGCAAAATGATGCTTATAGGTGAAATATGAACAAAGATAGTTTCAAAATCTGTATGGTGCATTTAACTGTTTTGTTTTGTTTTAGGCACAGAAAGCTGAAGGTGCTGGAGATGCCAAGTGAAGTGTGTGCATTTTTGATAACTGTGTACTTCTGGTGACTGTACAGTTTGAAATACTATTTTTTATCAAGTTTTATAAAAATGCAGAATTTTGTTTTACTTTTTTTTTTTTTTTAAGCTATGTTGTTAGCACACAGAACACTTCATTGTTTTTTGGGGAAGGGGCATATATCACTAGTAGAATGTCTCCAAAGCTAGATTGATATGAGGGAAAATATCTTTTCCCTCTAGTTTTGAGAGACTTCCTCTTGGCTCCCAAGAGGAGGGATTCCGTGATGTTGACACACAGCCACCTTGGCACAAATGCCTTGTCGTATGGAAAAACTAATTTGTTTTTATGTCCTATTCTCCCTCTGCCTTCAGCATAGTCTTAACTCCCTTAAACCCAGTCACCTCTTGGGACCTGACCCCCAATAATTGGTTACCAGTATATTAAGAAATCTGGACTTTTTCAATAATACCCACTGAGATGGCATCCTTCAAAAGAGCAGCGGTTCCATTTGTAGATTGTTGGATCTTCAGATAAATTCTGCCATTTTCATTTCATTTCCTGAAAGTCAGGGTCGGCTTGTGAAAAGTTGTTAAACAACATGCTAAATGTGAAATGTCAACCCTCACTCTAAACTTCCCTGTTCAGAGCATCAAATGAAGATTTCATTGGGTTTTATAGTGGCTTTCTGATTTTTGGTAGAACATTGAAGAAGGGAGTTTGAAAGTTGTTGTATACTGTTAATGATCGTCTGCCCATGTCCTGCCTGAAATACCATGATTGTTTATGAAAAGTATCTTTAATAAAGCTGGATACAGTTTGGCTTGGAATATTGCCTCTAATCTCTTCCCACAAGTCGGAGAACCTGGTTTCTCCAAGTCTCTTGGAACTGGATGTATTTTGCTTTGAGATTACATAGGTTCCATCTATAGTTGAATGATCTTTTATGGATGTATATGCAGTCTCCAAAGCCTAACAATGCTAGGTGGAGTTAGGAAAGATTCCCAAAACAGATTGGCTGGTAGTGTGAGAGTCTGGGAGCAGAAGTGATCTCTACTTGGTTATGTAGCATTACCCGAAGTGTATGGGGGCGGGGGTTATAGGTTTTGTTCTTTTGCTCTGCTATGAAGTACGTTTTTAAATGCCAATTTTTGGTAGATTTAATGTTTTACATCAGGAGCTCCCAGCAAGAGCTTCTCCACTTAATCTGCATTTATAATCCCTGTAAAATTAGCAAATTAACAAATTTAAAAGTAGGTTTGTGTCGGTACCCTGTTTTTGTAGACAGATACAAAGATAAGACATCCTATCTTATATATAAGATGTGTAAGGCTGATGGCCTAAGTGGACTTGGACACCACGATGTAATGGGGGCTTTTCTGATTGCTTTAATTTAGAGATGTTGCAGAGAGCCCGTTTCCTCTAGTGAAATACCAAGAAGTTATCTGTTAGGATATAGAACTTGTACCTAATTTGTGTTTGTAGTTTGAATTTGCTTTCACAGATGACCTGGTTGTGTATTGAGAGGAATAAAGTAAATTAGAGACTACAAAAATTGCCATGTTTATCCTCTTAAGTCAAAAAGGTAGAGTTATCAGTTAAGCTTCCTTGATGAGGTTATGTATCATGTGTTGAGATCATTTTGTAATACAAGTGTTATGCCATTTTATGGATGAGGAAACAGGCTCCGATGAAGAAATTTGTTTAAGCTTATGTGTACATCTAATAAGCAGCAGAGTCAAGATTCAGTCTCAATACTCCAGGGATGTGGAACCTGCAGCCTTTTGACTGAATCCAAATTTTACAGAAATAATCCCTAGGATTCTAGAGGAGGTGTCTTCGGGAGTGAAAGCCATTACAGGTATCTTAAGTGGTTAGGGTTACTGATGGTATTTGAACAAGCAACATTGAATTGGTGTTCTATTTCAGTATTCAGGTTTAGTAAAATCTGTTGAGGGCTATGCTAGCAGTTGTGCCTCTTGGTCTTCAATCTTTGGGTCAGTCCTATGATGTCTAGGTGTTATACTCCCATTTCATAGTCAAGCAGCAGACATGAAGTGAGGCCGGGGCTGGGTTTAAACCCGCCACCTCCAGCATATGGAGCCAGCGCCCTACTCCTTTAAGCCACAGGCGCCACCCGGGCCTTATTTCTTGCTGTGTTTATACTGGCCTTTCATGTTGGCCAGAAATTAAGATGCATAGAATGAACTTGAATTTTTCCCCTTTGTGGAAGATACTTAACTGATTTTTGAGATAGTGACTGGGCTTAAAAAAGAACCAGTCATCAACGTAGAACGGACTTTGTCTAAACCATATATGCTTAGTGCCAGCCCTGTCTTCACCTAAGGTCTGGACATAGAGTGGACTGGGCAGCACCTGTGGCTCAGTGGGTAGGGCACTGGCCCCATCAAGGGTGGTGGGTTCAAACCTGGCCCCAGCCAAACTGCAACAAAAAAAATAGCCAGACATTGTGGCAGGTGCCTATAGTCCCAGCTACTTGGGAGGCTGAAGCAAGAGAATCACCTAAGCCTAGGAGATGGAGCTTGCTGTGACACCATGGCACTCCACCAAGGGCGATAAAATAAGACTTTGTCTCTTAAAAAAAAAAAAAAAAAGAATGGATTTCTTAGCCATATCTCCAACCAAGTTCAGTAGTTGGGACTTCAGGCCCATGCCACCAAGCCTGACTATGTTTTTTTGAGAATCTCACTGTATCACCCTAGGTAGAGTACCCTGGGGTAATCATAGCTTACAGCAACCTCAAACTCTTGGGCTTAAGTGATTCTCTTGCCTGAGCCTCCATTACAGCTGGAGCTACCAGTATACACCACCATACCCACCTAGTTAATCTCTTTGGTAGAGACAGTCTTGCTCTTGCTCAAGTTGGTCTCTAACTCCTGAGCTCAATGATCCACCTTGTCTTGGCCTCCTGAAATACAAGATTACAGGTATGAGCCCCCATGCCCAACCAACTTAGCATACTTATAAGACTCATCTATGTTGGAGCATGGCTCTCATTGGCTTTTATTACCAATCTTCCATCATTTGGATGTACCACATTTACCCATCACTTGATGGATACTTGGGTTGTTTATACTTACTGGCTATTGAGAATAATGCCTTTTTTGATTATAGGTACTAGAGTGTGAAGTATTTCACTGTGGTTCCCCCCCGCCCCCTTAGGCTTACAACACAGTTTATTTAGCATCCTCAAGGAAACAAAAGACCCTCCCTGGCCCCTTCAGGTCCACTGGGTCTTTTCCACACACAGCTTAATAGTGATCCCAAACAACCACAGATTGTTCACATTAGTGGCTGAGGTTGGGACACTCATTGTGGTTTTGGTTTGTATTTCTCTAACGTTAAGTTGTTGAGCTTTGTGTGTTTACTGGCCATTTGTTTATCTCTTTTTTTCTTTTTTGAGACACTTTGTCACCCTCAGTGGAGTGCTGTGGCATCGTAGCTCACAGCAAACTCAAACTCTTGGGCTCCAGAGATCCTCTTGCCTCAGCTGCCCCAGCAGTTGGGACTATAAAACACTAGATTTTTTTTTTTTTTT